GCCRGCAGCAAGAACCAGCCCTGCGGCTGCTGCAGCCCCGCGTGCCTGAGGCCGGGCYGGGTCACCTGGAGGCTCTGTGGCACCCTTGGCCATCTCTGCCCACACCTGTGGGGCTGCTGGGAGCCTTGTTGAGGCCCTGGCAGCAGGGCCCCTGCGGGTCACACTGGGGACGGGCCCTGGGGTGGGCGCTGCGCGAGCGGAGGGGGACGCAGGGCCAGGCCGCTGGGGCGGGAGGGGGACAGGTTTGTGCAGCAGCATTTATGGGATGTGTGTGTGTGTGTGTGCGCGCCTAGGGCTCGTTGGGCGGTGCATGAGGGGCCAGAGCGAGGAGGTGGAGGTCATCTGCGACGGTGAGTGAGGGCAGCGGGCTGCCAGGCAGGGTGGGTGGGGTAGAGTAGGGAGAGATTTCAGGCCCCTCGGGGACAGTCCTGCCAGCTGCTCCCCCGACTGCCTCCTGGCTCTGGGAAGAGCTGGGTGGCACTGGCCATGTCAGGAGGGGATTTCCTGGGRCCTGGTGAGATAGGGAGACTTGACCTCAGCTCTGCTCCTTCCCTCTCAGCCCTGCAAGGCCTACAGCACGAGGACAGCAGCCTGACCATCTCATCCCTGGCCCTTCAAACCACCTTGATATTGAAACCACCAGGGAAGGAGACTCCCTCCTGCAAYGCACAGGCCCGCAACGGCCTGTGCAAGCACCTGAAGGAAGCGTGGGAGAAGTGGCAGTGTCCTCTGCAGGGCAGCAGTGTTTGCTGCTGGCGCTCAGCCCCACGTTGATGCTCTGCGTGCAAGGGTCCTAAAAACAGCAGCCTTGTGTCCTCACCGTGTGTCGTGTCTTTTCTTTGGCGAACGAAGCAGGAGAAATCGCAGCTTGTGAAGGAGTTGGGTTCCCCTGATGAGAGGGGTTGGGCATGTGCTCTCTTGTGGCAGCCTGGGGCCACCACAGCCTCATCCCTGCCCCTTGCAGCATTCAGAGCATTGTCCCTGTTTCCTCTTCCACAAGGGTCAGGGCTGGAGAGAGCTCCTGGAGCAGAGTGCAGGGGTGGCCCCTCTCTGGCACTGGCTTCCCCTGCTGTGTCTCCAGACCAAGCTACGAGGAAGAGTTGATCTGTTTGARGGTAGGAATGCTTTACAGAGGGATCTGGGCAGGCTGCATCTATGGGCTGATGCGAGCTTCAAGACAGCCTGGTGCTGGGTCCTGCGCTCTGGTCAGTGCAACCCCAAGCAGTGCTACAAGCTTGGGGTGGAGCGGCTGGAGAGCTGCGTGGCAGAAAAGGATCTGGAGGTGCTGGTYGACAGCCATGAGCCAGCAGTGTGYCCAGGAGGCCAGGAAGGCCAATGGCATCCAGGCTCATATCAGGAATAGTGCAGCCAGCAGGACTAGGGGAGTGACTATACCCCTGTGCTCAGCGCTGGTGAGGCAGCACCTTGAATACTGTGTTCAGTTTTGGGTCCCTCGCTACAAGACAGACATTGAGGCTCTGGAGCGTGTCCAAAGAAGGGCAATGAAGCTGGTGGAGGGGCTGGAGCACAGACCTTAGGAGGGAGGGAGCTCTGGCAGCGCAAGTCGGACCTGACAGCACTGCTGGACGTGAGGGGAGAGGGGACCCCCAGAGGCCTGCTCAGGAAGGCACTGGCCCAGCCCCGGGGGCAGGATGGGGTTGTGTGAGCAGGGAGGCCCACAATCCCTGCTGGATTCCAGTGAGCAGCTGGAGAGCTGGCTCTGCTTGGTGTGCTGTCTCCAGCTGGTGACAGAAAGACCACGTTGGAGTCAATGAGCTCAATGGGTAAGAAAGGACATGCTGAATATAAACAACCTAGTGCTGTGCAGAGCACAAGATCAGAGCTGTGCTTTAGCAGCCTCCCCAGTTTGGTCTTCCTCTGGGAAAAGGAGTGGGAGTAGCCACAAAACACGTGATGACTGTCCTTGGAAGTGGACATCAAAACCATTACAGTATGGTTGCAGATATTGTGTTTTACAGATACAGTTGCTCTTCCTCTTATTTTTGCAGTGATGACTGTGTCTTCTGTCACTGTGCACTGAGGCAGATACTGAGAGGACTTGGCTGCAGATTAGTGACAGAAAACCAGTAGCTACTGTGGAATCACAGTGCAACTTATAGAGAGTGCAGATTGCCTGGTTCAGTTGAAAGGCATTGTGGTCAGTTATGAACATAACATTAGGTTGGCATGTGTAAAATGCCTGTATTTGTAAATGTATGTGTTAGAACTGCACAGATAAATGAGACTCATAACAAAAGGGAAATGTCATACTTCTATTCCCTGCTATCACTTTTTGAGATTGTGATGATACTGATTCAAGAGAGATTCTTTTTAATCCAAACCTGTGAGCATGACACCCTGCTGCCACCCCTCTCTTTTCTCTCTCGTCCCTGTTTCCTATTTAAGCCAGCAARGTGGATGTTGTTTTCTGTGGAATCTAACTGCACGCGAGCTTCTCCTCTGGTGCCTGCCATGGCGCTTTGGCTGTTACATCTTAACAACCCTCCATCGGACACTCGTCTTCTTTTCAACATCTCGACTGCTGGTGACAGTGCTGCTAATGCAGCATGTCATGGTACAGATGATGAGAAAAGCCTTGCTGGAGCAYGCAGGTATTAAGATTATCTCAGTTTCTCCTATACTGGGAATGCATGTGAGAGAGCCAGATTCTGAGACGGCCAAATATATGTTAACAAGGCAATAAGCAACACAGAGAAGCCACAGAAAATGCTACAAAGCTTTTTTATTTTCTTAACAAACGAGGTATATGTGATAYGTAAAATGCCACCATCACTTTACATGGCACACAGGCTAAATGAGAACATCTGACTTGGTGGAAAAAGGCACTGCTATGAAATGCTGGGCTCTCTGCTTCACCACCAGAAAGACTCRCTTTCTTTAAGGAGATACAATAAGCAGCTGCTAGGAACGAGAGAGCTGATACTGCTCGATGTCYGAGATGTCTTCACAGCTTTTACTGCAGTTGTACGGGAGGAAACCACCTCCTTGTCTGGGAGCTTCTATGAAACGTAAGGTGCACGCTGCAGGTGGATTGTATGTATTCCTAGTCAAACCAACAGGAAAAAGCAAGTACAGGGACCACTAACAGGAGCATACTCTGGTAAAAGTGATCTTAAGGAGAAATATCTGCTTCACATGTCTCCATCAGAGACTGCAACAGGACATGGAGCATCTGCTGGGATTAAAAACATATTTTCATCAGTCATTTTCCTCAGTTTGCCTCCTTGTTAAAAGTAAAAACGTCCATGTGGAAAGAGGATTGGGTTATTTAGGTAAACCAGACACTCACTAATCTGTTGGCCCTGATGGGATGCAACTGCAGGTGTCAGGGAATTGGCAGGCATTATTGCTCAGCGACTCTATCATCTTTGAGGGGTCCTGGAGAACAGGAGAGGTGCTGGAGGACTGGAAGAAAACCAACGTCACCCCCGCTTTCAGAAAGGGCGAGGAGGACGAGCCAGGCACCTATAGACCAGCCAGCTCCACMTCTGCCCCTGGAAAGGTGAKGGAGCAGCTCATSTTGGAGACCATCTCTAGGCACGTCAAGGAAAAGAAGGTGYTCAGGAGKAGTCAGCATGGGTTCACCAAGGGGTAGTCGTGTTTAACCGACCTGCTAGCCTTCTACAGTGGGATGACTGGCTGGCTGGATGAGARCAGTGGTTGTTGTCTACTTTGACTTTAGCAAGGCTCTTGACAACGTCTCCTGTAACATCCTTCTAGGAAAGTTCACTAGGGAAGTGTGGGTTAGATGAATGTACAGTGGAGTAGATCAAGGACTGGCTGGATGGCAGAGCTCAGAGGGCTGTGATCAGAGATGCAGAGTCTAACTGGAGGTCTGTGGTCACTGGTGTCCCCCAGAGATCRGTASTGGGTCCAGGGCTGTTCAACTTATAAGTGCCTTGCAGGAAGAGACAGAGTGCACCCTCAGGAAGTTTGTGGATGATATCAAACTGGGTGGAGTGGCTAAGACCCCAGAAAGCTGTGTTGCCATTCAAAAGGACCTAAGCAGGTTGGAAAGTTGCATGGAGAGCAACCTCATGAGGTTCAACAAAGGCAAGTGCAGGGTCCTGCACCTTGGAAGGAATAACCTCAGGAACCCATACTAGCGGTTGATCTGCTGGAAAGCAGCTGTGTGGAGAGGGATTTGGGAGTTCTGTTTGGCAAGTTAGCCATGAGCGAGCAATGCGCCTTGTGGCCAAGAAGGCCAATGGGATCCTGGCCTGCATCAGGAGGAGGGAGGGGATCCTGCCCYTCTGCTCAGCTCTGGTGAGGCTGCACCTGGAATATTGCGTGCAGTGCTGGGCTCCCCAGGATAAGACAGATGTGGAAGTTCTAGAGAGGATCCCATGTAGAATGATGAAGATGACTARCGGACTTGAGCGTCTATCTTATGAGGAAAGACTAAGTGAGCTGGGCCTGTTTAGCCTGGAGAAGACTGACAGGGGATCTTATCAACATGTACAAATACCTGGGGAGAAGACAAGAGGATGGGGCCAAACTCGTCTCAGTGGTGGCTGAAGGTACTTTGTGTTACAGGACAAGGGGTAACGGGTACAAATTGAAATATAGGATGTCTCATCTCCATATGAGGAAGAACTTTACTGTAAGGGTGACAAAGCACTGGAACAGGCTGCCGAGAGAGGTTATGGAGGCTCCTTCTCTGGATATCTTCAAAACCCACCTGGATGCAACCCTGTGCAATGTGCTCTAGGTGTCCCTGCTCGAGCAGGGGGCTTGGACTAGATGATCTCTAGAGGTCCCTTCCAACCTCAACCATTCTGTGAAAACTGATTTAATAGGYTGATCAATTTAACTGACACAGAAGGTGGAAAGGCCTTTGGCATCAGTCTAACTGAAGAGATTCTTGAGAGGAAGATGGGAAATAGCTTCTTATGTTAAGATAAAACACAAGAGGAAACATAAACTTTTTTTTTCACCACCACCCTACAAAACCAATCTCTGTCTCTCAGCAAGGACTGTCTATTATTTTGAGACTAATTGAGACTGAGACTATTATTAGAAGAACTCAGTGCTCATATAGAAATATCACCTCCTCTTTTCATTATTGAACATGATTGAATAGGACAGTTTGAACATTCACACATTACCACCTAAAAATGGAACTCCAAGGAACTCCAGAGTTTACACACAATCTGCAGCTTATATCGTGCAAGGTCCAAAACAAACGATGTTCTTCTGTGAACAGAGAGGCAAATGCCAATGAAAAAACACCAGGTAAAGACAGAAATGTTTTACAGACTACAGTTGTGTTATAAAAGATTTTTCCTCTTTTCCACAGCTTTACAGGAAAAGCTTGATTTACTTCATTCGTTTCTCAGAAGGACAATTTTGGCTTTTCAGTTCTCAGTTGTAGTGCCCAGTGTTGTCCTCTAATCCTGTTTATGCTGACAAGTGAATCCTAGGGTGGCTTCATTTTCTTTGGTTCCATCAGTACCTGGCTAAGAAGACGAATATTGCTTGTGCTTCAAAACCCAAATGTCAGAAAAACACTGAGAAAAAGGGAGAGCTGTAGTTTCATCAAAAGGATATATTTCCCTGTAGTCCTTCTTTATTTTTTGCACTCACCAGTACTGAAGTCCTTGGATTTCTTTGCATATTAGTATACAATTTTCCAGTGAGTTGGCTGCTCACAGTTTTTTTCTTTCTCACCACAAAATCGGTTGTAAGTTGTTTTTGGATCAAAGCCCAAGATCTCCCTTTCCTCATGGATCCGAAAGGAAAATGTTGAAACAGAGGTGCCTATAAAATACCTGTGAAGAGAGCAGAAGTGGTTGGTGAAGAGGGCTAATTTTTTGGAGTACGAGTAACTGATCTCAGTCCAATGAATTTTAATGAATGAACTGTAATCAACTCTATCTAGGTCAAAGGCAATATTCAGGTTCGTGACTGTAAAATCTGGCTCCACCCAGAAAAGCCAAACTGGTTACCTTGCATGAGCACAGATCCACTGGTCAATCACAGCCAGCCCTCCATCTTTGTAGAGTTCCAGCTCTTCCCAAGTGGGTTCAAACCTCACCATCTCAGGCAGCAGTTTCTTGAGCAATTCAACCTCTGTATAAAGGAAAGATACAAAATATCTAGCTCAATTTTATGCTAGAAAAAAATGATCTACTGCTGTCAGAAAATATACGTGCTTGAAATAACCCCTGGGTGAACTGTTACAAACAGGGAAACCAAAAATCTACCTACGAATTACAAAATCACAGAAGAGGTGAGAGATGAATTATAGAAATTTTTGCCAAATGTCAGATTATTTTAGGCAGGGGCAGGAGTCAGGGATACAGAGACAAATTGCCAAGGAAGTAATTCTGGCAGGACGGTGAAACCTGCAAATGGTAGGAGTGCCAAAACCACCAGTTTTGCTGTCTAAATCCTACAGGATAATGTATCAAAGTAGCCTTGAATTACAGCAAAGTTGGATTAGTTATTACATAGTGCAACCCTGCAGAATTATTCTTGCAGATATTATACCTGTAGGGTATAATATATAATGCATTGAAACATAATCCCTACATACTACCAGAAGGGGATGGAACAAGTTTAAGAAGGGAACCCCATAGTTGGGGGTTTCCAAAGTCCTTGTCTAGACACAACTGGGGCTGTTTGGAGCTGGTGTTGGGACTAGTCATGCTTTAGAACAAGAAGTAGAAAAAGAGACTTCCTAGGTCACCTCTCACTGGCTCATTAGTGAGTCTGCAAAATGTAAAGGGAAAAGGTGGGATGTAAGAAGGAGGAGAGGCAGAAGCACGACGTTACTTATTCAGTTTCCAATTTTCCACCAGAGAGACTGTCAAACTAACTGCTTGTGGGAAATACAACATTCATGCCTGGGTATCACCTGGCCAGGTGGAAGGGAAAAGACTGCCCATTCTACTCAATTCCTTTTTCTGGTGTGCAGGCACATGAATTTCCAGTTATCAGTCCTAAACTGATAGTTCTCTGCCTACCCTCCTCAACAGCATCAGTGGCCAGGAAAACTTTTTCAAGTTTATGTGTGTCCAAGAGGCTGCGGATTTTCTTCACTGCTCCTTGCAGGGTAGGCACGTCTTCTCTGTGACCCCAGATGAAGTCTCTCCTTCTCAGATGAACTCCTAGGTATGGACCACCTAGAGCTGTGCCTATCTTAACCTAAGGAGAAAGATAAATACACTTTAAAATGTGCACGTGCACCATGATCTGAGCTAGATTCATAGGTAACTTCTATCAGCCCCCGTACAGCTCAGAGCAAACAAAACAGAAAAAAAAAAGGTATTACGTTTGTTATGGAGAACAGACTGTCACAATTTTACCTTCATCTGTGTCCAGTCCTCATTGTAATGAGTCCTGTCTGCCCCATCTGTGGATTGAAGGTATTTGCTTCTGAACTCATCTCCCACTACACGGAGGTGTTTGGCAAACACCATACTCCGACGGGTCTGTTGGAATAAGAGCAGTTGCCAAGTCAGGAAGATGGCTAAAAAGGAATAAACAGAGGTAATTTCACATACACAGAACTTCTGGGAGGCAGTTACTTCCAATACACCCAGTGCAGCATTCAAAYAACAGTTCCTAACGTTGTGTCTTAGCTGTATATGTTTAATCTTAATCATAACATCATTTATATCCAATATATTCAGCTGATTCTGCAATGCATAGGTATACAGAGTGGATTGCAGGCATCTGTTAAATGCTGGGCAAAGACTTAACTTGTAAAGCACCTGTAAGAAAAAATGCTAAAAAAGTCACGTCTGTAACCACTGTCACTTCAATTTGATAGGATAGTGACCAAAAAAAAAAAAAAAAAGAAGCTCTAATTCTTAATTTTATCTCTGTTACCTCTGTTGGGTGATAAGCATCAAAGAAAGTGCATTGAAAACGGTTTTCCTCAAGTGAGGAGCCAAGAGGTTTGTATGTCTTTTTCCATGTACTATTGAGCTTTGTATGAGATGTTCCAGAGTGCTCAGCATTACGCTGAAAGTGGTGGGAATTTTGCCATCAGAGCCAAAGGGGAGAGAATTAAGGTGACACTGAACACTCTGGGAACTCTTTTGAAACACCTACCCCTGGGGCAAACTCGAGATGAAACTGCACAAATGGGGTTCCCTTTGACTGCCTATGCGCTGCATAGGGGAGGTCCTTCCACACACACCTCTTTGCAGGACTGAGCCTCTGGGGACAAGACACCAAAACAAATTCCTGAGTTACATGAATCCRTGGCAACCTGAAGACAATCTTTGGAGTGTGCCACTGAAATACAAGACACGAGGTACTTTCAAGGTTACTAATTGGGAGGAAAAAAAAAAGTCAAACTGAAGCACATATTAGTTACCGAATTTTTATCAACACCAAGAAGAAAATCTGGAGAAGCTAACTGGAAAATACTCACATTCCAATAATCTCTCCCTCCGTAGTGGTCATGAAGAAGGTTTTCAGCTCTGTCTAACATCACTGACCTATTAAAAATTTTGAAACTGAGTGCACTTCCCTTAGGAACACAATTTACATTACTATGTTTCTTTATACAGCAGGCAGGATAAAGCACAGACTATGACCTCTTTGCAAAAGGGACACAGGGAATGAAGGATTTGCAGCCAATCTATCCTGCACACATCAAACCATGACCCGCAGCCCGYTGGAGAGAGAAGGGAACTATGCCATTGTGTAATGCTGCTCTCTTCCTCAACAATCGCTACGTTTACCTGTATGAAAACTAAACACAGGCAAGAAATGACAATCCCTCCCATAGTCCTCACRGTAATTGCTATTGGAGATATTATACGACTGCCAAAGCAGGGAGAAAGTGATCCAAAGGGGTGGATAGAGAAGTGACCGGTGAGATAATGCTTATGCTGAGGCCACCTGAGAGCCTTTTAAAAATAATAGAGCAAAGAATTAATGCTTAAAAAAAAAAAAAAAAAGCGTGTTAGCAGCTACGGACAAATTCTATAGCGACTTTTTCATTCATTTTTTTTTCTCTATGTTTTTCAAACAATACACATTTTGTACAGGATTATTTACTTGAAGTATAACTGCACTGTCAAAGTTATGAGAAACATAGGAGACTAAAATACTAAAATTTTAGACACTGACAAAGACWGCTGGATGAACCGCTTGGGTAGGGGGCAGCTCTCGACATACKCTGAAGTAGCACTGGGACCAGCACTAAAATCTTATAGCTGAAGAGCTAACCTGGGATAGCAGCCACAGCATAGCTACCTGCAACATCTTACTGGGTCAACAAGGGCTAAAGAAAACCCAGCACGGCTGCACTCAGCTTCAAAAAGGGAAACTGCACAAAAACAAGGAGGCGCTGCACCAACAAAGAGAACAAACTCATAAACTCTACGAAATTAAATGGAAAATATATTAAGGCAGACCGAAAAAAGAATTTGAGAAGCTATGGAAAGACCTAGGAAAGGTTTGGTTTCCTTCGTGCCCAATAGGATGCACTGTAGCATCCTACTAGATAGCTGCTATTAGACCAGATAGCTGCTACTCTCCTGAAGACCTTCACCTCATTTCTAGAAAAACTGTACGTCATATTTTTGCATATGCTTGCTCTCATGGCAAATCCATACTTTTGTTTATAGGGTTTGTCTTCTTCCTATGGATTTATTCCCTTTATGTATTTATAGATGGCAAAAACCTCCTCCTGTCCCTCCACCTCACACCCTAGTAGCTTTTGCTTTGCTAATATACCTTTGGGTGTTAAAAGGTCACAGCTGGCTGCACGTATTCTGCTACTGGGAAAATGTCATCGTGCTCCATCTCTCTCATATGACAGCTGTTCATTCCTCTGATCATCCTAATGGCATCTCTGCACCTCAGAGCAGAAAGCTGAAACATGTTGTTTGTTTTCTGTAAACCCACCTCATACCAGTGAGGATGAAAGTAAAAGACCAGGCATTGCCTCTCAGGATGAGATGTGCACCTGAGAAACACCAGCTCTGCTCTGTTCATTCCCTCTTGCCACAGGATGAAAGGGTGAAGGAAAGAAAGGTAAGCACAAGGTGGCAAGTATATTTAGACGCCTGAGTGAGAACAAAAAGGCTATTTCATCTCTTATCAGTATTGCAGCATTTAACATAATTTGCAGTTAGGTCCTCTTTAGAGGATAGATTCCTTCTACAGTGATTTTAAAGGACCATAATAGCCCAACGGTGAAATACCACAAATGTGGCATAAGGCACATGAGCTTTCCCTGCTCTTCCACACTGGCAGTGGGTTTGTGGGCATGCAATACAATACATAGCAACAAAAAGTAACTTACTGGGCTGAAGTGTTCTTCAAAAGGATGGGAGCCACAATAGAGGCAGATCCTTGGACAGACAGACAGGAGACGTTCAGGCCCCGTGTTTCCTCATAACCCCAGAACCATCCCCTGAAAGACAACAACAAAAAAGCATCGGTTCACATATCTGTATTTGAAATTAATATGTTTATACATAAATAAATTGAATAAGCAGTATGGCCTGGAAAGAAGATGCATAACTTAAACACTTCAGTGTCTTTATATAGATTTTATATGAAATAATTATTTACTAGATCTTACTAAACGTGTAGCTGATAAGAATTTGATCTTTCAGTATCAGTATAATATTTTGTTATTGGCAGGTCTGGCAGGTTATTGGCAGGCGTTATTGGTCTTTGTTAAAAAAAACAAAGAAAATCATTTTCAAGCCTCCAGAGAGCCACTATGACACACTACAATAAACACACAATCTGTCAGAGAAAGCCAATTTCTCACTGAATATAACAAAGGAGAAGGCTAAAAAGACTACAAGATATTACCTGTAGTATTCATGCTTGTCTTTGGAATACATAAGCTGATCAATGCAGGGCCTTTCATCGATTTTCTCCTCCCACGTTCCTTCCTTCCACCCTTCTGCGTAGCCTTGCAGGACATACACTTGCTCAATGAAGGGCCCACCTGACTCTGAGCAGGAAGCAAAGCAGAGCATTTGTAAGCACAGAAAGCCACAAGATAAAGGTACAAAACAGAATTACCTATAGTTAAAAATATATTGTCAATTCTAATATTACTAGTTTCTTCCCTTATTTTAACAATTAAAAAAAAAAAAAGGATGTGTAATGTGAGGCACACAAGCAAAACTTAATCAGGTTAGTGCATAAGAATGAGGTACAACTTCCTCACATGTGGAGTTTAATCTAATCAAAGATTATTAAAAAAAAGGCAGGGGCGAGTACCTATTCTGAAACTTTTATGATTTGCTAGACCATCAATAGACTGTAAATAACTCAACTGGATGAAGTCCTGAGCTTCAATCTCCAGTCTTTGAAGTTAGTCTTGCTCTGAGCAAGAGGGCAGTTGAGATAACCCTCCTGAAGCTCTATATTGCTGTAACATGGACAGCAGGCAAATAACTGGGTTCAGAAAGAAGTGGTCTATGGCAATTTTAGAAGAGGACAGCCAAGACAAAATACTGCAGCACTGTGTTCATCAGAATTAAAGAATCTATTTCTCTTCCTTCTTTCAATTACTCATCTCCCACTGGAAGATAACAGCAGGGTTGTTTCCAAACAAATAAAGCCAACTGGAAATACTTCAAACATTTAGTCTTTCATAGAATGCATTAGCTCCTTTACCTGCAATGTACTGCTCATACTCAATGACGGGGATGTTTTTATTGAGGCTTGTGAGATCAAAAAAGGTGGACCAAGGGATTCGGACCTGCAGAATGTCAGGACTCTGCCAGTGGTACAGGCGTCCCCAGGGAGGCAGCACTAACACCCAGTTTTCGCTTCTCAGCAAGGTCTTCAGCAGTGAGGCAACGCGAATATAGACGTCTCGACGAAGGTTGAAGCCTTCGGGAGGGTTTACGTCGTACAAGAGGTAACTAGAAAGAAGAGAGCAATGTTGGGGAGGTTACAAACTGTTTACGCAGAGGATTTTTCTCCAAAATGATGTGGTTCAACCGTAGGGGTATGGAGCTGTTCTCAAGCTCGGCTGTCGTGAGGACATCACCACCTGGCCCCACGTAAGGGTCTCCTGGCACCTCGCTGTGGGCGCTCGTGGAGGCAGCTCGTATGGCTGGTCTGGCCTGCAGCGGGGTGCACTGCGGCAGGGGTCACCGCACACACCAGGATGAGCACTCCCTCACCAACGCGCAAGGGAGGTGCAGGGCACGAGCACCACCTGCTCCGTGCAGGATGCACAGGACTGCTCCCGCTGTTGGGAGGGCCTCAGGGAGGATCTATCATGAGGGACTGGCCCAGAAACAGAGGGTGAAGGAGGCCCTGGAAGCCCCCAATCCCCAGGGACCCAAGAAAAGGGACCCACGGACACCTTCAGGGCACCCTGGCCGTCCCTCCTGGTGTCTGCTCCAATGCAGGGGACAGGGCATGAGGGAAGACCCCGCCAGGGCCGAGGAGGCGAGAGCCCGCGTGGCCCGGCCCCGCCGCTCACCGTGTGCGCGGGGCGGCCGCCGCAGCGGGCGGCAGCGCGGCGGCACCATGGCCCGCGTGGAAGGCGGCAGCCGGCGGCGCCGGCCGTTGGGCGTCCGTTGTTGGCAGGAGCGGCGCCAGGGCCGCCAGGCCCAGCAGCAGCAGGATGTGGCGGCCGGGCGCCGCCATGGCAGCGCGGCGCCACGTCCGGGGCGGCGCCAGCCCGGCGCCGGCAGCGAGAGGCGGCTGTGGAGAGGAGCGGAGCGGCAATGCCGCGGGCCCCGACGATGGTGGCGGCCAGCCCGGTCCTCCCCGCGCCGCCGGCTCCCTCAGAACAGGTCCGCGGTCAGGGGTCGGAAGTCGGTGCCGGTGGCTCGGCTCAGCTGCTCCAGGATCTCCTTCTCCTTCTGGTACATCTGCAGGAAGGAGCGGGCAGAGAGGAGCGCTGCTGAGTCGTGGGCTCACGAGTGCTATGGCCCCCTCCAAGGCCAAGGGCCTTGTGGAAAACCCCATTTTGGGCATCAGCCCCCACCATGCAGATGCTCAAGAAACACTCCCCTCTATCACTGTACCCAGCTTGCAGAAGAAACACCCCTAAAATTAGTCATTTTGCAGGGCTGTTTCCAAACTGAACTGTGTTTCAGTCACACGTTCTCCCAGCCTATTTAAAAACCACACAGGAGAGGCCACATATTGCTCTGCTGTGAGGAAACTGGACACAAGACTGGGGCTTGCTCTTAGCTGAGAGCAATTTTCCTAACCAGACTATTCAGTTAATCTGGGTTCCACAATTACACTCCATTTAAAAGGGTTTTTCTGAGCTGCTCTGAAGGAAAAGCATCCAATCTTGCACCAGAAGCGTGTGTTTAAAGTGCCTGTAAAAACGTTGTGCACCTCTAAAAAGCCATTCTTTCTGGAAATGTTTTGTCTTGGCAGCTTTGCACGGGTCTTTTGCCAGTTCCTGCACCACAGTTGCACCTCCAGGCTCAGCTAAAAGCTSGTGCATGCAGCTCAGTGTCTGGACTGTGCAGAAACTCACATGCACAAAACAATACATCTCTCAAGCACCATTAGCAACAAAATTGAGATTCTGTCATTTTGCTTGCAGGGACTTGATATTTGCATGACAATTAATACAAATTAAATTGACTTAAAGCTCTGCGGAGCCTTCCAAGGGGTTGCAGAGGGTTATCCCGCCATGGGAGAGAGCAGGTGGGGAATCCTCCCGCTTGGCCAGGGCGCATTATCTGACAGGGCTGCTGCCGCCAACCGTCCCGGCTTGAGGCCGCCTCCGTACCTGCTGCCACTCCTCTCTCGTGCTGTGCCGGTAGCCAAGCAAATGACACAGCCCATGGGCCGCAGTCGCCTGTCCGGGGGAACAACCAAAATAAATAAATAAATAAATAAAATTGCGCAAACGGTACTTGGTTGGTTGTATTTTTTTGCACAAAGAGGCTGTTCCTGCAGGCGGCCCCGGCCCCGCGCTCACCACGAGCGCGCCGTGGAAGTCCTCGCCGGCGGCGCGGCACTGCTCGCCGATGTACTCCACGCCCAGGAAGATGTCGCCCAGGTTGTACTCGTCGCGACGGCGCGGCCGCGGCAGCTCGCCCGCCGCCACCTCGTGGAAAGGGAAGGAGAGCACGTCGGTGGGCTCGTCGCGCCGCCGGTAGGCCGCGTTCAGCCGCCGCATGGTGCTGTTGGCGGCGCAGACGAGCGCCACGTCGAAGCGCGCGGCGCCCAGGGCGGCAAGCAGGGCGCCCACAGCGCGGCGGAGCGGCACGCGGCGGAGCGGCACGGCGCGCTGCGCGTTGCGGATCAGCACGCTCATGGCGCCGCGCCACCGCCGCCACCGCACCGGCACCGGCGCCGCCAC